ATATTGTATATAATATATAATATATAAAATATTATATAACATATATATATAGATATATATAATATGTATATGTATGTGCTCCACCTGCCCTGGCCCTTAAAAATGTAAGTCCGAAGATTAAATCCCGGCCCTCGTCCCAAAACCCACGCTCGCCCCAAATATCTGAAATTCATTAACTAACCCACCCGCACAGAGGTAGCCTTACCTTCTATTCTAAAAGTCATAAACCCCCAAGACAACCTGTAAACCCTGTTCTGAGGCCTCAACCCTTACCCTAAACACCGAAACTTGGCCCTACCCCGGAAACTACGTGCTTAAACCCTAGACCCGAAGCCCAGGACCTATGATGTAAGAAAACATAGTATAAACTTTGACAACTAAAACCTCTAAAACCGTGGCAGCCGCTGAGCATGGAAATCATCCAGGCCAGAGCCTGCAAATCGACTCCACAACACAGTGACAGTAGCACAGAATGGGGAGTGGGTGTTCTACGGTCAGGACAGGACAGGCTGGGTGTGAGTCTGAATCCTACTAATAGCCTTTTAGCCCTGAACCCATCCTTTGACTCCCCAAACTTTCGAAAGAAAGCAGCCTAGGCTCTCAGGTTCGGGGTTTTATTTATGAGGGGACAGGATTCCAGGATTGAGGATTTCAAAAGACTAGTGTTCACAGGCTACGGCGGCTGTCTCGGCGCTGCTAGGAGTTTTCGGTTCGGTGTTTTGGTTGGGGTTCAGGATTTAGGGGCAAGGGAGGGTTCGTTTTCTTTTTCGGGTTTGGGGCCTGGGGCCCTGCAGCTTTACTAATGTGTGCGCCAAGGGTTTAAAGGTTCGGGGGTTGTGCTTGGGGTTATTTTTATAGGATTGGTTTTAGAAGTCTTTCCTGGTAAGTTAGGGTCTTGAGTTTGGGGTTACGGGTTTAGGACTGATTCAGGGGCAAGGGCGGCTGCAATCGCGCTGCTAGGGGTCATCATTCTGCTTGGGGGTTTGTGTTTGGGGTTTGGGAATTGACGGGCAAGTGCGGGTGTACATACGCTGCCAGTTCAACTGTTGCCTCAGGTTTGAGGGTTTGTGTTTGAGGGTATAAATGCTATTATTAGGACAGGTGCACATCCCATGCTTGGGGGATACTAGGTTTGGGGGTGTTATTTGGTGGGGGCCATGGCGATTTGGGGACGACTATACCCTCCCTCTGAGCCCTTCAAGCCCTGAACTGCTTTTGAAATGCCCACCGCCACACACAGCAAACAGCAACGCACCACTCACTCCAATCTTGACTTACGAGCCGCGAAACCACGTCTTGAAATCGACACGACCCAAAAAACCACTCTAAGACTCTCCTCACCCCTTCTCAGGTGTAATCGAACTAACCTCCCCCCATAACTGAAGTGCCCAAGAGTCCCAAGCCAATTATCCGGAATAGCTCTGCTTCCATGGCGGGCTTCATTTCCAGATCCAAGGGTCCAACTGTTCAGGTCCTTTTGGGGTCCGTTCGGTTCTACATTTCTGACTGCCAAGCATATAAGACCCAGGGATTCAGATTGCTGTTGTTGAAGTTCGCTCTTTTTCATTCTGGGCTGGGGGTGCCTCTCTCACAGCAGTGCAAGACGTGTAAACCATTGTTTTGCAGCAGCACGGCTCAGCGGTCGAACTGCGAACGGCTAACGCAGCATGCAATGTGTCACCCGCTTCTTCCTGGAAAAGTCACCTAATTAGTGGCTTCAGCTTACATTTCAGTGGCTTCCTGGGTAGCTTCCTGGGTAGCTTGAGCTGGGAATGCCTGAGCAAAATCTGCTTCAGCTTAATGACAATCTGGAGTGTCTGTCCTCAAGGCTTTTGCCAAAAGAACTCAAGTAGATTTAAAGCTCGAAAGCACTAGCTGTAGATTCTACTTGGTCTTGAATCATCAAATGCTTGGCGAATGAGTGGGGCCAATGAAGCTACTTTCTCGGTACTTGCCTGAGAGTGACACACGCAAGGAGCCGTGGTGAGCCAGGCTGTGTGCTTTCATCGGATCTCAGAGAAGTTGACATGACAAGGCTCCCCTGTCAACCTGGTGTGACGTTCCCAACATTTCCCGAGCAAGAACCGCAGGCAGGCACCATCGTTGAGGCCAGCAGCGCCCCAACTTCGGCTCTTGGACCACTTTCCAATGAACACAATCCATCGGCAGTTAAATGTATCACGATACCACCGGCTCTTCGGTGGCCCATAGACGCCAACTTCTCCAGCTGTCCATGTCTGTCTCAAAGGGAAGTCCAAAGGCTTTCGCTTGCCAGTTGCTTCATTGGCAGCGGGGCCTGACAGATGACGAATCTGTTCATGCAAAGAGCTAACCTCTTCGGAAATCCTCTTTTGTTTGGACACGTGCTTGTCCAACTCCTCTTGGTCTGCTGCACTAAGGCAGCCGGCATATTCCTCACTTGAAAGGATGTCTTCATGCTCCAGATTTTGCTCCATGATGCACACAGCTTGCTCCAGAAATTCTGCGCATTTCTTGTCAGGCACCTGCAGAACGGCTCGCATGGCCGCGACTCGAACATCAGCAGCTTTCATGTCAGCTGAGACAGATTGCCCCAAGTCATCCTGAGAGAAGAATTTGATGCATTGATTAACACAATTGTCTAAGACCTAAAGTGTCAAACCCTGAAGCCCTACTACAGCCTACAGTTCAAACCCCTAGACCCTAGACCCTAAACCTTCAAATCCTGAAGCCTTGAACCCTAAGCCCTACACCTGAAAAAAATATGAACAAGGTCAAACCCTGAACTACCCTAATAAACCCCTATGAACCCACAGGCCCTAAACTCTAAACCTCTGCACCTGAACCCAAGAAACCTCAATAATTTTGGCCCAAAGCGACGAGGATAATTTTTTTTTGCTCAAAACCAAACCTAGACTCTGGCCTAAAACGGTCAATCAAGGTTTTAATTTGGCTTCAGGAGACCCCGCAAGCCTAAATCCCTAAGCCCTTAAATCCATTAGTACTTCCTGAAACTCTAGAGACTCTAGAAATCCATGGATTTGGCTGAACGTAATTGTTCAAACATTGGCTCACACGACAAAAGCAGTAGGATTCAAACAGTCAGTGTACCTTTGCTTTTGTCGGTTTTTGGTTTAAAGATTTCAAGGTTTTTTTAAGGCTTGAGGCTTTAGGGTGGTTCCTTTGTGCTTTTGGGGCTTACGGTCTAGGTAGGGTCAAGGCTTTTAACCCAAACTCTTCAACCCTTAATCCCCAAGCAGTGGATTCTGGATGACACAAAGATCAGCTAATAAACTAAAACCTCAGACAGTGTTGAATGTAAATAAAGACAAACCCTCAAAAACACAAACCTGCAAATTCTGTCCTTCATCATCTTCTTCACAGATGCTACCGGGATCTTCAGGAAGCCGAGGTGAGCGCAGTGCTCCAGAAGTGATGTCGGTTTACCAACCGACAGTAGAGAAATTTCTCCGACGACTTGCTTGGTGAGTCTCCAAAGATGAAGCGGCGACTTCCACTCCACTGGCAGTGCTTCCCACTCCGCCAGATCTGCGACACTTGCCCAGTGGATGTTGCTGGCGGTGAACTCTTTGAAGACCAGTTTTATGCGACCACCGCCAGAGCCAGGAAGCTGCTGTGAGCTTAATGGGAGCAAGAGCGCAGTGTAGTTTTTCGCGCTCCCATAGACCATGCTCCACTGGCTGATCTGACCTCGCGGCTTCACCTTCTTTCTTACCACGAAGAACTGCTGCAAGAAGATGGTCCGCCAAAGCAAGGGGCCCTGCTCCAAATCTTTCTGGCTGCCACCAAACTTGTCTACAAGTGCAATCTCTTCGGCCAATGAAGCAAAAGGCGAGCTGTGTGTTGGCCATGTTGGTGATTGGTTGGTACCCACCAAATCATCAAAAGCAAGTGACGTTTTGGCCGAAGGCTGGTAGATCCCTTCAGGAAGTTTTTTCCCAGGCAATTCTTCAGGGATTTCGTTCACCTGCACCTCTTGAAATTTGTAAAGCTCGCTGAGGATTTTCTTCTCCGGAAGGTGCTGCCACAAGCGCGAAGGAGCCACTTTCATCCCAGCTGATTTGGACTCAAGAGTCCGATCACGCTGAAACGCGTCTTCCACAAGACCGCTGGAACCCCAGTGAGCAAAGAGCTCGCCGATCACTCGGCGGATTCCTTCTCCCTCGAAGTCTTCCTTCAGCAAGTCCTCTGAAAGTCTCCATCCCAAGCAGCAGCTCGAAGCCAGCTTCTTCCAAAATGGAAGTGGGCTTCCCAACACCCTTTTCCATTTTTCCCGCAGTTGAACCAACCACTGGACCAACGACTGTCGGACCTGGGTTGCTTCCTCTGGGTTACAGAAAAAGTCTTAGTGTAAGTCTGAATGTTTCCCAGAAGATCAGAGCCCGATGAAGTAAGGTTTCTGGGTTTAGGTTTCAGAGTTTAGGGGGGCTAAGCTTCAACGGTGTACGTTTCAGGGGTTCAGGGCCTTACGGTTTAGGGGTGTTTGTTTCTTTATGGTTTTGGCAGGAAAATTGCGAACAAGTCGGTGGACAGCTGGATCCTCGTCGAGCAAGCCCACGATACAGTAAGGAAAGGCATGAGTGTACATCACCAAACCATGGAGGCGGAACTTCTGAAGTGACAAGACAAGGCTGCCCAGCCTTTCTGCAAGATTGTCTTGCACACGAACTTCCAAATCATAGATGTCCAAGTTCTGCAAAGACTTGCTGCTCAGGATTTCCTCGGTGTGGATGCCAATCTTCCCAAGCTCCAGCTGTGAAAGACAGCCAATTTTCCCGACATGTTCCAAGCAACGTCCTGCTGCCATATCCTTGTAAAACTGCAAACATGCTTTCTGCGAGCGCAAGTTGTGCCGATGGTGACTGTACCAGTCTCGTAGAGGCCGGCAGGCATACAAGAACATCAAGGCCTCACTATACAAGTACCGATCTCCATGGATGCATGTTGCAATGTGCAGGACATTCTTGCAACTGTCACGCATCTTCTGCTCAGCTGTCTTGTCGCGGGAAGTGGACGACGAGGCTGCCCCCGATGCATCGGCTGCCGCTGTATCTGCTGCTGCTGCACTTGCTGCTTCTCCTGCAGCAGTTGCTGCCCTTGTGGACAGGTCCTTCACAATCTGGCGGTCCCCCGAGTCATCTGTGCGCACAAACCCCATAGACAACCCGATCAACAACAAAGGAATTAGCCTTAACGTCCATTCCCCTTGGTATTGATTCGGGAAGTCTTCATGCCCGCTTGCTTCACCGATCCAACTCTCGAAATGCCGATGCCACGCGAACCATCTAGTGATCTGGGATCGCTCGCCTTTGACTCTGACGAATCGCGATTCTGCCAAAGCTTGCAGGGCTAACTCCTCGTGGTCGTCAAACTCGTTCCAACCTCTCTCAACAGCAATTCGAGGCAACAGCGATCTGAGAATCCTCTTCAGGCCCTGTTCCGCCTCCGGCCCTCTCAGGAACACCAGCGCTTCTGAAGTGCCCTCAATGATTGTCTCGAACCAACGCTGGGAGGACCACGGGCCGAAGACTGCATCCATGGCAGTTGTTGTAAGCCGCAACATTCCCATCATGTGATTCTCCTTGGCAGCATTGATCAGGCTGTTTTGAAGAACGTGCCAGCTGTCTGGAAACCATAGCTGCCGGCTCTGCAACACATACAGAGAGTACCAGAGTGCACATGTAGAAACAGTGCTCGAGTCTTCAACCTGCACCAGGACCCGCTTCCCAGACCCCCGGGAGGATCTAGAAAGTAGATCCCCTAATTTGGGACCCTAACTACTAAAGGGTGCTTTATAGGAACCCCCTTAAGGGATCTACTTTTTGGATCCTCCCGGGGGTCTGGGTTATCACCCAATGGCAAATTGCTGTCACGGTTGAGGGGCTCAGCATCGTCAGCTTCAGTCGCTCGACGCTCGATCTCATCCATGACAGCACGTTTTGCAGGTGTTGCTTTCGCTGCAAGCTGCTGGTATCGCTCTGATGTCACGAATTGAGACAGCCCGCGACCAGTGGCATCCTGTAAAATCACATCGATTCGCTGCAGGTGTGCTCGGGCGGCGACTCTAAATTCAGTTTTTTTCTTCGCCAGCGGGTGTTTATTCTCCGACTCACCCTCCTCTTCGAGCTGTCTCTGCGCCCACGCCAGTGCCAGCTCTCTCCAGTCGCGGTGCTGCTCTGGTGTCGCAGGCTCGCCTGCGAGCTGCGGTCTGAAGTGTGTTGCTCGTTTCGCCTGAAGCAGAGAACCCGGAATCATTCTGGAACCACAATTAAATAACCCACCCTGGGACTAACCAAGCTGCACAGTGCTTAGTCCAAACAAACCGAGAGATACAGGCAAGCTGAAATTGACTGATACTCTAGAAACTGTGCTGTCTGGATAAGATTGGCTTCTTGAGACTGGCCCACCCCGGGGGCAGGTTTTGTACTACTCTGACTCTGTCTGTCTTTAAGCTATCTCATAGTTACTTCTTCATTCCTTGGAAGATCAAGCGACTTAGCTTAGCTATCACGGTACACACAGGTCGAGAAGCCCACTACCTTGCAACCAAATATTGCTCGCAGACCGTCCAGTCCAGATGCACACGAGCAGAGACAACTAACGGATTCTTGGACACTGGGTTTTGGTACACTCAGACAAGTTCACTCGCACCAACGACAACAACAACAACAACTACAACAACAACTACTACTACTACTACTACGACTACTACAACTACTGCTGCAGCAACAACAACACAACGTAACATAGATCTCAAAGCACCAATAATAAGACTCAAATGCAAAGTCGAGATCTAACTCGACAAAAAAACAAAAAGAGGAGGAAGCAAGCCTTCGGTGGTGCCCAGCAGCAGTCCCCAGAGGTGAGGTTCAGCAGTGCAGCCCGGCATCGATCTCTCCCGCCAACAGTCGAATCGTCATCGACAACGGCAATACGAGTGCACTTCTGCATGGCTTTTCGGCTGGCCAGGAAGTACTGCAGGCAAAAATGATCTCGATCGGCTTGACCTGCACTGGCTTCTGCTGCACTCGGGAGCTGATTCTCTCGGCTTCCAGCCTTCCGCATGGCTTTGCTTGCCCTCGCTTCAGTCAAACGATCGATAGCCGCCCGCTTCTGCACCGCTTTATCGCCTCGGACAACAGACGCTTGAGCATTCGTCATTGCCTCGCCAGTTGCAGGCGGCAGCTGCCGCAGGATGAAGTCTTCCAGTTGAGAGGCCAAGCAGACCACCACAGCTTCGTAGAGCCATTGCCAAGTTGGAAATTTTTCCAGCTTGCACAGGAAGTCAGCAAGATCTTCAGAAGTGTTCTGGGCATAGGGGAAGGTCCTCTTTGCATTTGCTGGAATGGCCTTCCATAGCTGTGACCTCTTGAAGCTTGCGATGTCGACTTTCCAGGCAGAAGAGACAGCAAGGTTCAGCTGCTGCCCTTGCCGTTGCAACGGTATGGGTGCCCACGGCTGGCGTAGGAGCAGCTGGAGCACGGAGGCAATGTCTTGCTCCTCCTGACGATGGTTGCGAAGAACTACCAGCAGGTAAAGCAAAGCTGTAAGGCTAACAGAGGTCTCTGCTGCTCGCAATGTTGTCTCAGAGGCGCTTGGAGTGCCGAGAGGAACAAGTATGTGACTCTTGTCACATTTGTGGGATTGCAGCATGGCTGACCATTTCCCGCGCATCTTCTTGGCGATCCAACTCGCATCAACAGAAATGCCACAGGCTGCTAGCACAGAGCTGAGCTCTACATAGATACGGGTGCAGCGTGTGGCATCATCTGGCTGCTCTTCCTGCGCAGGCTGCCTCACTGTTGGGTCACCACAGTGAGCGAGAGTATGCAGGCTGTAAACCCACACAGCGAACTCCTTGTCATTGTCATTATCAATACTCTCCAGATCCAAACTCACCGGCAAGTTGATGAGCATGCGGTCCTTCTCCATATCGGACCGCCACCGAGTCTTGAACCCGAACCCATGCTCTAGTCTTGGCTCGTGTACAAACAGCTTTCCCGAGCCATCTCTCCAAAGATGTTTCCCCTGCAAATCCTTGGCCCAAGTCACTTTATCATCGCTCTCAGCTACATAGGCCCACCCTGTCTCCAGGAAATAAAGCTCAGCATTCGGCCCCACAGTCACCTCTTCCCCAGTGCCCTCATGCCGTAGCACTTTCTGGCTCGCAGCCCTGACTGCCAAATGCAGCCACCCTCTGTGAGGCAACTGTGTACACCCAGGGTCAGCAGGATTTGCCATGAACAACTGACGTTGAAGATTTGGCCTTCAGAGGCTGTCCTACGTCTATCTAGATTGAAAAAAACCTGGACAACCCGTGCCAAGAAGTCGCACATGACTGCTGTTGTATTTTGCAATGGCTTAGGAAATCCGAAATCTATCTGAGTCTGTCTACCCTGCTTTAGTCTGTCTTTCCTTGTCTTATTTACGACGGCACCCACAAGACAATGTGCTTCAAGCCTGCTCTGACAGATTGATTATTGTGCAAGGCTCTGAAGCCTAAACTTGCCAGAAGATGTCAGAAGAAACCACACTTCGCAGCCCCATTACTGTTGTCCTGCCTGGGTGAGCAGACCGTCACGTGGGCCACCAAAAGATGCGGGAAATTGCAGACCTGGCTGTGGCGAGTTGTGGAAGGTCTTTGCTAGGATGGGAAGAACAGTTTTTCAGCTTTCCGACCCAGCAGCACAGGCTTCTTCACACATGTCGTGGCACTGTCGGACCGAAGACTCCTCTTGCTTTTTTGCCTCCTTGCACTGCATCAAAACACCGAGCGAAGCCCTTGAAGGCTACGCAAGTAGGGTCGCAGACACTGTAAAATGATGAGCCGAAGCCAGAGTTTTCTGGCTCAGGCTCCTCTGACCTATTGGCACCGTGAGGGGACACTCCTAGGACTGGTCACGCCCGGAAGACTCAGAGAGGCAGCCTCTCCTTCTCAACAGTCCCCGGTGAAGACGTGCAACAGCATCCTGGGTCATCAGATCAGACGCAACACAACCACTCAGTGCATTCACTCAAGGACTGGTGATGCAACCAAGCTGCACAGAAACATTTTGGATACTCCTCTGACTGACGGAGCTCTGCTTTCCCATGCTTCCTGCCGTCAACATCTGTCCAGCACAGATGCCTCGATGGTGCTCCAACAGGGGAATCCTTTCGAAGCTGCCTTCCTTCCTGATGCAACTCTTCCAACCATGGCACTGTGCCCATGAGAGTCAGAGGTTTCGGGTACTCGGAACCGAAGTCGGCGAGGGAAATGGTGCATTTTCGGGCTCCGCATGTTTCCAGTGCTGCAGACAGATCTGGCATTCTCCAAAGCAAAGAAGAGTGTGGCTGCTCGATGACAACATAGATGCCTGCACTCGTGCGCAATCAGAATGAATGACTGTGACACACGAAGTGTCTTTCCCGTTTAGGCAGGCAGCTAATCTCTGGCCGGAATGAACCCTAGGACAAGTCTGACTCCAAGCACCTGGCCTCTGTTTGTCGCCAATTTCAATGCCCGAGCAACAAAGACAGCGGTCAGATTCGCTTGATGAACTGCAGCAGACGTCATCTCTCCCTGGGGCCGATCAGGACTTCTCTGGTTGTTAGTTCTGTTAAGCCAGATCCAAGTACTGCAGTCCGGGGCCATCCACAACAGCGAATTCGGAGCGAGTTTCACAACACAGCCAAGGAAGTAATCCCTCCCTGCTTCAGACAAGATGTCCTGATCCAGGCTATTCCTGACGTCGATGCTCACACAAGGGATGCTAGCTTCCTGGAGGCAAGCGCTCAATCTCCAGGGACGGGGCCTCCCGTCAAACAAGGAGATTGCTCCAAGGATAGAGGAGCTTCTCCCACGCTGGCCTTGTTTCTGCTGCCATGTCTGCAAAAGTGCATGGACCCTGTCTCTCCACTCAGCCGGAATGTCTACATCAGAGGCTGCCAGTGGGGGCATGATTTATGCTAGTCAGGCACCTACCTGAGTTGAAGCAACGAAAAGAAAAGCCACGGAGTCTGACAACATGAGCTGATTTTTCAAGTGCAACAGTGCTGACACGTGTCCGAAGCAAGAGCACAGTCAGTCGTCGTTTGGAACTTTTCCAGACTTGATGTCCGCTTCACGCCTCACCGTAGATCTACCGCAACGCCTCAAAGAAGGGAACTGATGGCCATTGCTATTGCAATGAGCCTTTGGCCCCGCCAGCCAGCCAGGATGCAAAGGATTGGAGATGTTAGGATACATACATCTTGCACGGTCAACCACCTAGGAGTCACAGCAGAGGATTTTGGGCATCCTTTAAGGAGGCAGACGTATTTGATTGACAGAAGAGAGAAAGTAGAGACTGACAACAAATTTCAGTCAGATTATTGGATAAAGAATGAATGACACAGTGCTGCATGTGCATCCCGGAATCCAGGCCGGCTGGTTCTTTCCAGCTTCTGCCATTGTCACAAGTGCAGAGCTGTCCCCCAGCAGCCACATTCGTGGCTGCTCAAACCCCAAAAGTCAGGAGCCTTGCTGCTGACAAACTCTCAGGTCTCAACAGTCATCCTCGTCCACAGGCGCGACGACTTCTTCGTCATCCT